ACTCAGAAGTGCTCGGTCTTCAGAAGTCTCAGCACTCACAGTTTTGCTTCTGCAGCAAGCAATGCTCTTCTGGAGGCACTACTCTGACAGCGACGAGGCCTTCTCCAAAACACTCACAACTTTGATCATGACTTGTTGGTTTGCCTGCACCACAAACAAATAACCTGTTGCTGTGCGAAAGGCAGGCAGAAGTCCACATGAGCAGACATCGGCACTGAAAAACTTGAGAAGAGTCAGTCGACGAAGCCTGACCCACCTGGCACTCTGCCTTCCTGGCACTCTGCCTTCGTCACTGTCCTGGCCTGAAAATTAAATTGATATTGGAATTTGGGCCAACCCACTCACTGAATGGTCCAATGGTGGGCACTCTGCCTTTGGCACTCTGCCTTTTAAGGCACTCTGCCCTTTTTTCTCACGGACACGGCAAGTGGACGACTTCAATGAATTCTCCGCCGTCTTCCATGGCAGCAGGCCTTTCTTCGAAGTCGTTGTAATCATCCTCATCTTCCACACGCTCTTCATTCCAGGCCTCCGGATCATCTTCGTCGTAAGCGAATCTCACCATGGTCGTGGTCCACAAGATTTGGTCACCGTCGGTGACTTCCCCGTCCCACAGCGTCAAATTCTCAACCCCCCGCGCCCAGCCCTCATTACAGGCATAGAGCCATCTTTTGTCCATCATCACTTGCATGCCTGCACCGGTGAGTTCCAGCTTCAGGTAAGCTGGCGGTGCGTGTGGATCGATCCTGAACTGAGATCATGTTGAAGTTGCTACTTGATTCTAGTCAGTATTAAGATCCGTAGGTATAAGATAATAAATAAATGTAGCGTCGAAGCATTGCTTGAATCTGAGTGGCCATCTAATGCACTTTGGCCACCATTGGTAGCGTTGAAGGGCCGTCTGGGCCGTGGGGCGCAAGGACCAGTGCGGATAACCTTTGTGAGTGTTATCCTGCGTGGCACCGGGTTGCGCCCAAGCGGCGATGCCGTTCGCTTTGAAGAATTCAAAGCGAACCTGCAGGGAGACATCCAGTCAAGCAGTAAGAAACACTCACAATCAACACATGCTATGATTATCATCACATACACTGCCCACTGCCTGCCAAACGTCCTCCACGCACATGAAGTATGTGTAAAGGATCTGGTTGGGGTCTTGCATCGGGATTTTGCCCTTCTTTCCCTTGCCCTTGCCAAGATCGCCCTTGCTCGCACTGGCACTCTGCCCTGGCCCTGGCTTTCCTCCTCCCTTCCCGATCGCACTTCCTCCCTTCCCGACCTGACTTGTTCTTTGGGATTGACCGGCGTTGCTCAAGTTGGCCATCTGCCAACTTGAAAACTCTTGCAGCCGAGTGCGCTGGCGAACTGCGCCCGTGTTTTCCATGGCGGATAATGACTTGCCCACTGCACAAATGGGACAAGGGCACTCTGCCTTACACCGGAACCCAGACAGCTGCAACAGCACAAGTAGGCAAAAATGAGCACTCATTACAATCACCGGAGACTGACTGTTAAAGTCACACTTGCACCCACTGAGTCGCCGGCTGGATTCACTCATCCAATCGCCCCAGCGGCCCTGATCACCATGTCGGCACAACCGACAAAGGAACTGACAGTTTCCACAACCGAGACGGGCATGATCTCACTTTCTTTTTAAGCTCAGTCAGTAACACCGGCAGCCAGGTTTAAAAGCACGAATTAAGCTGTGACTGCCAGCTGAAAGTGGGAATGTAACTATTAGCCTTATCAAGGTAAGGACTGTGTTTCACTTCCAGCCAGCAGTCCAGTGTCGGGTCCAGGACTCTCTGGCTGGGCCAGTGTCGGGACACAAATTTCGACGGCTCAGAATCATTCATTGGAGCAGAACTGTTTGACCATGGACTTCGGGTTCAGTGTCGATGATCAACTGTACGTGTGCAGCTCATCCTGCATTTCCAGCAGTGCTTCAATCATGTACTCACGATCCCGGAATGGAGCATAGTAGGCTCGGTGGTTGATCCACCTGACAATGGCTTGTTCCATGGTCATCGAGGCAAAGGCCATGACTAGGACACAATAAGCAGCACAGGTCCTGTTAATGCCACCGTAGCAATGGACAAGCACACGAATTGGCCTCTTCTTGCCTCCACGCTTCCGACCACCTCCCTGAAGCTTCATCGCCTCCAACAAAGCAAGAGCATTACCGAGCTCACCAGGGAATGTCTCATCGGCCACCTTCAAGGCACTCTGCCTTCCATCGGCACTCTGCCTTCCATCAGCGGCTCTTCCGAACAGGCTGCCCATGTCACTTCCCTTGCTGAAGCCCTTGTCATAGGAGCAGCCATAGCCAAATGAGCCCTTCGTCGATGCCTTCTGGCTTTGCATGTGATTGGAAACCTGACAGGGGCCGCTGTAGCCCTTGCTGATTGTCTTGCCCTTGCCCCTGCCGCCATTGGCCTTGCCCATCATTTTGCCCTTGATGGCACTCTGCCTTTGACTCTGGCTGAACTCCTCTTCTGAGCGCTGCCAGCACATCATAATCTTTCTGAAATCTGAAATGAGGCGGCGCCAAATGGTCTTGAACTCATGACTTCTTTGTTCAGCATCAAAGTCATTGGCATGTGTTTGATCCCAGCCACCATACCGAAGATGTGCAGTGCCAAACGGTCCACAATTCGCCAAATACTGATACCAGTCCCATGGCTCAAAATTCCGAGGTCTGTCATCTGCATTCATAGAGATGACAATGTCAGGCTTGACCCGGAGCTGGTCATATCGGATCGGGCAACCAATACTGCCAACAAACAGTTGCCACTGGGGATGGTCGTAAATCAAAACATCATCCATGGGCCACGTCTCGACATCATGCTGGCATGGCCGAGGTGGCGGGATCGACCCAGGCAGCACATCTGTCTGGCCGGTCCATGCTTTGTACAACTTCATATCCATATCTCCGAAATCTGAGATGGCCTCAACTGCCAATTTGATTCGTTGATCCAATTGTGCAGCCCTTTGGATCTTTCGGAGCCCGGTGGTATAGTCGGCAGCTGATCTGCCACAGTGTAAACAATTCCACCGAAGTTGTTGCACGGCTTCGTTCCAGTAATCACTGCCAAGGTCAATGTGATTGGCCTGATGATGGTCAGCAGCAGAACTCTGGCACTCTGCCTCGGAACTCCCTGAGCACCTTGAAACGGTCGTCGGCATCACTGCTTTCATCGAGCACACGTTGTCCAACGCTTAAAACATTAACAATGACTAATGCATCACTATACAGTACATTAATCAATGATATGTAACATTGTGTTACTACTGTTACATCAGTATGAATGAATCACTTGATTCCCTGGCCGGCAGATGTCGATCATGTATGGTGCAAGGCAACTCACTGACAGACTATGCAGGCAGGCAGGCAGGCAGCCAGCCTCGGAGACAGCAGGGTCCTGAGGACATCACTGCCACCCGGCACTGTGTAGTCAGCATGTCATGCTGGGTAACCGTTTTGAATCCAAGTTGCGCACACTACCGCTGAGGTCTCAAATCGGACAGTCTAGCTCTGCTGGCGAGATCGTCGAATTCAAAATCCTCTAAGCACACGCAAACCCGGCACTCTGCCTTCCCCAACATCCGTAATACGGTCTCGGAGGCTGTACAAACACGACAAATCATTGATTCAGTGACGACACAAATTCGTCTGACACATTGTAATGTAAAATTCCTGGCACTCTGCCTTGCCGCACAAATCTCGGAACGAGTACGCACAGGATCATGTCATTGATATGCCAGTCTACTTGCAAGACTTGCCCACGCTCTTCAGAATTCAGAAACATCCACAATGTCGAAAAGGACTCCTCTAGCAGCTCGTCGAAATAAATCACATAATCATCGTCGTCAAAACTGTCCGCGACCGAGCCCACAAACGAACCCCCAAACGCCGCAGTGCTTGCAAACTCGCCAACAGCCAATAAGTCCGAGACCGAGCCCAGAGACTCACTGTCACTCCACGACATCGACCACATCTGCCGGCTTGCACGGAGGCCTACTACGACTTAGACTAGAGACAGAGCAGGTCGTCGGGATCACTGCTTTCATCGAGCACACTTCAATTGTCCAAAGATTAAAACATTAACAGTGACTAATGCATCACTATACAGTACATTAATCAATGATATGTAACATTGTGTTACTACTGTTACATCAGTATGAATGAATCACTTGATTCCCTGGCCGGCAGACAGATGTCGATCATGTATGGTGCAAGGCAACTCACTGACAGACTATGCAGGCAGGCAGGCAGCCAGCCAGCCTCGGAGACAGCAGGGTTCGAATGCCCCCAAGTCCCAGACCCTAACCCTAAAACCACAACCCGTGAATCCACAACCTTAATCCCCAAGCCCTGAACCTCAGGCCTAAACTCCCATGGTGCCCTTAGCACCCTTAGACGCTGAACCTTGAAGCCCTATATATCCTAAATCTCAACTCAACCCTATCCAGCCTCAGTCGAGGCCCAATAGCAGAACTTTTGAGCAACCCTACAAATCCTCATTAATACCCATAAGTCCAGGGACGTCGCTACAAATCCTTATAACCCTCCACGAATCCCCAAACTGTTGAAGATCGTAGGTGAAAAATGCCGTCTTGGAGTCCTTGTTGCAGGCCCACTTTTAATGCTTTTCGGATTTTGGGGGTCAAAATTTAGGGCACTATACATGTTGCTATAAGGGTTGCTATCAGGGTTCATTTAGGGTCTCGGACTTTGGGGTTCTAGGGTGCAGCGTTCAGGTGGCCTTGCGGGTGCAGCGCTTAGGTCAGGGCAAGAGTTGGTGGATATATGTCTTACTACAGGGTTTAGGGTTCAGGCTTTAAGCTTAGGGTGCATGGGTTTGGGCTTTACGGGGCTTTAGGATCTAGGGGATTTGGGGTTTGGGGGGTGTGGGCATTGGGTATTTGGGGCTTGGCTTCCAGAGTCTGTAACAGCACGAACCACAAGGAACACTCCCATCAGCTCTTGCTTACAAGCGTAAATGCCGAATCGGAGCATAATGAGCCTCATGGGCATGGCATTGGCCCCAAGCCCTCCACTTCAAAGCCGCCAGGAGTGCAAGGACCTCCGCTCCCGCTTGGAGGTTCAGGAGGAGAAGAACCGGTCATTGGAGGCGCGCCTGGTTGGAATCTGAAGGCTTTGAGGGCTGTGGGAGTGGAGAACAACTGCGGCACTTCTGGGTCAAGGGCTCCACTGACTGAAATCCTGATGCTACTTGGAGGATCAGTGGGCTTGGTGCTTCAGATGATAAGTAACCAAGTTGGCTCTAAGTAACTGTAGCTGTAGTTACTTCATTTCTAGCCCTGTGTTCGAACTCGCGAGATCCTTCAGGCAGGTCCGAGGCTAAGGTGCGCACGACATTCTTCCACTGCACATCTGAGTATCAGCGCCCTTGCATCTTCAGGCCACCCAAGTGGACCTTGTAGGTTACCAGGTTTAGCGGCTTTGGGTTTTGGGGGCACAGAACTCCAATTCCGTGCCCTTGTGGACAGGGTCGAAAGAGTGATGGGGCCGCATGTTTTCTCTGGGGTTTGGGTTTCTCGTACAGGTGAAGGGAGGTTTTCGAGGGCCGCGGTGTTATTTGGGAGTTTGAAAGATGTCACGGACGTTTCAGACGGGTTGAGGTGCAGGGTTCCGTCCCTGTTTAGAGGGTTGGGGGTAAAAGCTTCAAGTTGAGAGCCGTAGAGAATGCCATGACTCCAGCCAGTTGTTTTACTAATATTACTTCTAGAACCCCTCGAATGCCCCCAACTCCCAGACCCTAACCCTAAAACCACAACCCGTGAATCCACAACCTTAACCCTGAAGCCCTGAACCTCAGGCCTAAACTCCCATGGTGCCCTTAGCACCCTTAGACGCTGAACCTTGAAGCCCTAAATCCTAAACCTGTTTGTGACCCGGGAGCAGGCATCAAAAAGGAGCTCAAAAAAAATCAACCCGAGCGGGTGCAGCGTTTAGGTCAGGGCAAGAGTTTGCGGATTTATATTTAGCTTGAGGGTTTAGGGTGCAGGCTTTAAGTTTAGGGTGCATGGGTTTGGGCTTTACGGGGCGTTAGGATCAAGGGGATTCGGGGTTTGGGGTCAAGGCCCTGTCGAAGCCGTTGTGCACCCGACTATCTGGTCTAATCCGCAAGACAGCTGGAGGCCACATCCGTCCTCACCCAGGTACTCCGAATGTTTGGCAAAGCTAAGGTATTATACACGGCTAGGTTTCAGAGATGTTGGTGTTTTGGTCTTCAACTTTGGGTTTGGGACTGATGGTTCGCTTTAGTGCTCGATGTACGGCAGAGTCCTTTCTCCTGACGAGGCCAATAAGAGTTCGAGCTCATGTGTTGTTCTTCCAAGAATCTTTCCAAACTTTCCCTGGCGTGTTTAGCCGCGTTCACAGTCACAGGGGCAACAACCGGGTTTTAGGATTTTCTCGCTTGCAGCGCCTGGCCACGCTAACGTGCGTGCATCTGTTTTGTAGAAGACGAGAGCACCACTAGCACAGCAGCAGGTCCCGGATTGATCGTGGAAGCCCCAAGGTGAACACTTTAAGCCAGACGAAGAAGAGTTCGGGCCTATGTCCTTGCGCAGCCACTTCAAAGCCACCGCCAGGAGTGCAAGGACCTCCGCTCCTGCGTGGAGGTTCAGGAGGAGAAGAGCCGTTCCGTGGAGGCGCGACTGGTTGGAATCTGAAGGCCTTGAGGGCTCTTGGAGTGGAGCCCAACTGCGGCACTTCTGGGTCCGGGGCTCCACCGACTGAAATTATGATTCTACTTGGAGGTTCAGTGGGCTTGGTGCTTCAGATGATAAGTAACCAAAGTTGGCCCTAAGCAACTGTACCTGCAGCTACCGTATGTATAACCCTAGTTTCGAACTTGCGAGATCCTTCAGGAAGGTCCGAGGCGGTAGGTACGACATCGGCATGCCGCTCCCCTACTTGTGCCCTTCTTCCACTGCACATCTGAGTATCAGCGCCCTTGCATCTTTTTGAGTATTTTGGTCGCCGTTTGGTTCCAGACTGTTTCGGGTTAAGGGAAGGCGGCTCCCAAATGCAGGTGCCGGCGGTGTTTGCAGGAATCGAAGTGCCATGATGAGTGCTCGCATGATGAGGGCCGTTCCGCAGTAAAGCTCTCCAACTATTCGCAGATGGTGCTGGGAGGATGACAGCATGCCTACACCCACGACGCTTCCGAAGGCCTCTCAGACGGCAGTCGCCTTTTGCGTTCGAAACTCAGCGGGTGGCCATGTAAGTTGCACACCAGACGACAGCAAGTGCTGAATCAGAACATGTCGATCCAAGTTTGTATTGAAATGTGGCTTTATGGAACCTGCTGTACAGCTCCTGTACCACCGCGTTCGACTTCTCTTGACCCCGCAGGAAAAGACTGGAGTCGACCTGAGTCGACCCTGGCCATAAAGCTGTGGATTCCCAACTGTTGCAGAAAGTCCTGTATACTTCTGGTGATTCCAATGTAGAACGAGCAGCAGCTTGTCTTGTTTTTGGTAGTGGCAAGACCAGTTTACAATTATGTATAGTGTACATATGTGGCTGCTAATGATGTGGCATACATACCTACATACATAGGTGCATGCGGAATGCTTCAACATAAGAACACAGCATAAGCATATTCTACATCCATATCTACAAATGCACACACACGCACACACACACACACACACCCTTCCCGAAATGCTTTCAGTGCCAACCGGATCCCTCAGTTTCTAAAAGCCTGGTGTAGCTGCAAGAGACGTGGAGACAGTAGTCTCCGGTTGCCCCGATAGGAAGAAGTTCGTCAAATCTGAACCAGGGTGATCTGTAGACTCTACACATGTGTAGGTGCAGAGTTTCAAGTTGAAGCGTGTAGAATTGAAACTCGAAGAGGTCGATGTTCAGGATAGCCAGAAGCCTTCCCGCAGGCAATGTCCCCCGAAAACACCTTGAACGGGCGGATCCAGAACGACGCCGAGAGTGAGGCCGTCGCAAGTGATTAGAGAAGTACTGGTTACGTTTTCTTCTCGCTCGTGTCTTAAGACAGTTGAATATTATGAGCTTTTGTACTGGGGTGCTGCTGCCAACTATTGCATGAGGCTTCTGCAGCCTTTTGGCAGTGTGTAGTGAGCTGTGCCTTGAATCCTGCTAACATGGCAGTGGGCTATGCTGCTTGGCTTTGCTGCCGAGTTGTCTCATGGTCTGCGCTCCAGTCTCCTATTCTGCCCATGTTATGTTCTGATTTTGTGTGGTAAGGTGAGATTAGCAGATTAGACCGCCTCTGTACGGTAGTTTCGCTATGATACAGTATAATATCGTTTAGAATGGTATAGCATACTTGACAATTGCTATTGTTGCTCTAGTCAAACATACTAAAATTACTAGAAGAAGTCACGAGTAGAAAGTGCCATCGGCAGTAATCAGAAGACCACTGCCATATGCAGCATGGCATCCCAGTGTCTCTGCCGCATGTCGATAGTCTTGCAGCGAGGTATAATGGTTTACGAGATAGCATTCTCTTCCCGAATCCCCTTTACTTTTGTCAACACAGAAGAAGCACAGCTGAACGATTCAGTTCCCAAAAGCCTGAAGGCCACAAGCCAGAAGCAGCATGGTGCCTAAACCCCTAAGTCGGAGCAACAATGCCCTTATTGATCCTGCCTCCTACATGCATGCTTAGGAATGTACTGTTGAGGATCCAAGGTACCACTGTTGAGCCTGCAACTTTCAACCATGGCGTTCTCTCCTGCCTGCTTATGAGCTGCATGGTTTCTTCGGAAGGCCAGTCACCATAATAGGTTCAATTCGAATAATAAAACTCCTGAACACGGATGGTAGCATACACCCCAAACCGGGGTAGTTAGGCCCAAAGTTGCGCCAAAGTAAGATCACGGTCCCCGTATCTTGTGGGAGCCCAAGGTTCAACAAGGCCTCCTGCACCAAGCCTATACGTACTCTCGAATCCCTTAGAGCAGCCACTCGCGAAACCCAGACACTTCAATAGTAAACGCAAAGAGTTGTCATTGTTGCTTTTGTTGTTGCTCCCTGCCGTTGGAACGGCATAGATCATATGGGGAAGGGGCAGGACGGCAACAATTCCCTCAGTACATGATCTGGGGGGGGGGGGGTTGTCGAAGTAGAAGCGTCTGACCGTTCTTGGCTTGTGCGTACGCAATATGTGTATATATATATATATATATATATATATATGCTGTATACATATATATAAATATATACATATATATATATATATATATACATATATACATATATATATATATGTATATCTTGCTCCTGCTCTTGCTCTTACTCCTGCTCTTGCCCCGAACCCCCCTAATTAGTTAGGTTTAGAGTCTAGAGGGCAGGGGTGATTTCGGGAAGATTGGCCCCAAAGTGTCTTTATTACTGGTGGGGTGTTTCTTAAATGGGGTAGCGATTACAGACACGTATATATATATATATATATATACATGTGCATAGGTACATGTATGTGTTAGATGTGTGTAACTTTGAGTCAAATTGTTACCGCTCACTTGTACAGGGACATGCCATTTCATATGTTGCACAGACGCAGATGCTGCAGCCGGCTTGAGCCTCACAAAAGAGACCAGATTCAATTCTGGTAGCGGAGCTGCGTGCTCCAGCTGTAGGCTGCCTTCGCCGCCATAGCGGCGACTCCGTCGGCTGCGACGACAGCGGCCTCCGGGCCAGCGAACCCAACAACGTCTTCTTCGAGTTCCTCCTGTACTTCCTCGGTCTTACGACCCACGACAACGTCACCACGAAACACGTGCACTACGCTTTGGTTCCTGAGGCTCGGAACCGCACTTAGTCACTTTTGGCAGCAGGACAGCTGCTTCTTTCCTCTTCGGCGACCGGCGCACTTTGGAGTGTGCCCTTGCCGGCGGCCAACGGAGTACGAGCTCTACAGCCTGGAGGCGATCCAGACCTACAGCCCGATTCGCCGGAAGATCTACGTGACGATCCGGATCGAGACCTACTACCTGAAGCAAGCTGGCTGTGTTGCAGAGCAGTTGGAGAAATGGCCACCCCAAGTCAGAGCGGCGTGCCACTCGATGAGTGGCGGAAGGACACACCACCAGGATGGCGCCCGGGCATCGAAAGCTACCCCTTGAAAACCTACTTTGCTAAGCTCAAGTTGTGGTACAGGTGCTCGGAAGCCCCAGACGAGATCATTGGCCCGCTTGTTGCGGGAAGGCTGCAAGGACGAGCACAACGAATAGCTCTTGAGCTTAAGCTGATCAGGCCCGACGGCACCTACGACGTTGGCGACGCGGCTTTGGTCAGATTGAGCGTGGACGAGGTCGTTGACCCGGCGGATGGCGTGACGATCATCCAGCACGCCATCCCCAGTGGCGTTCAGGCGCTTTGCAATGCTCTCCGGGATGCCTTTGGAGACACGGACGAGGCGCAGACCACCAAGGCCCTGGAGATGTTCTTCGAGCACAAGCGCTCCCAGGGTCAAGACCTTCAGGAGTTCGCTGCAGAATGGGATCTCAGGTACGAGGACGCCAGGTCCAAAGCTGGCTTGGAGATCAATGCCGTGGCTAAGAGCTACATGTGGCTTCGTCAAGCAGGCCTTTCCCAACGGCACCAGGATGATCTTCGGTTGCAGGTGCATGGGGACTTGAGTCGTTTCAACGACCTCAGGACTCTGGCTGTACGTCTCGCGCATCGCACCGACAAGGGCAACAGCACTGGCGATGTGTTCTACGAACGCGAGAACTACGACGAGCCCGAGACCTACGGCTGGGACGATGATGAGGGGTATTGGGCCGATGTGTGGTGGAATGAAGAGCACCCCGACTACGGCCCAGACGAGTCCCAGGAGGCATGGTACGGTGAGGAGGAGTTCTTCGATCCGTACGAGCAATGGCCGGGGGACCCTACTTCCGAGCCCGGCTATCAAGGAGAAGATCAACCTCCTGAAGCCGACCCCGATGGAGTATACAGCTTTGGCGGTGGACATGGACGCGGAAAGGGAGCCTTTGGATCCGGATGCCACGCGTGCGGAAGCAAGTGGCACCATGCAGCCGATTGCCCGGTTCGTGGAAAGGGCTTTGGCAAGGACAGCGGCAAGGCCACTCCCAAGGGCAAGTACGGCAAAGGAAAGGGCAAGTCCAAAGGCAAAGGAAAAGGGCGTCCAAAGGGCAAGTCGTGGAACAAAGGACGCGGCAAAGGTTGGAGTCCCAAGGGTTCCTGGTCGTCACCTGATGGTCCGAGGTCGTGGCTTCCGCGGTACTACTCCAACCACGACCCCTACGGCTATGACTACCAGGAGACCTACCAAATGAAGCATGCCCGCCAAGGGCTTCAGCTGAGCGACTCCATGGCGCGACCGTCTTCCACTCCGTCTACAAAGTACTTCAGCATGGCGAACGACCCCGAGGTGAAGAACGACTACTTTGAGGACTTGCTGAAGCTCGAGCGATCTGCTCGTGCGACGGAGCCTTCTCCATCCGGGACCGGCGACCAAGGCGACACCGACCAGTCCGCCATGGCCTTGTCGACAAAGAACCTGTCCTTCTTCTTCCGCAAGGCTTCGAGCGGAGGGAGCGACGAGGACATGTCGCCAAGGCACCTGACCTACCACGAGCAGTCCCACGACGGCGAGGTGTTCCACACGGTGGCTGGACAACGCAGACGAGGGCTTATCATTGACCCTGGTGCGGCGAATGGCTTGGTGGGCTCGGAGACGCTGAGAGACCTTCTCAGTCACATCGACATGGCAAAGCAGGTCAGTGACACCTTGGAATGGAAACCCAAGCGTTCCGAGGTGACAGGCATCAGTGGCGCAGCAGACACGACCCTGGGCGAGATCAAGATGAACCTGCCGATGCTGCGTGGCCTGGATGGAGCTCAGTACAAGGCCGACGTGATCGGGGGCGAGGCAAGCACATGCCCAGCGCTAGTTGGCAATCCTGCGCTTGTTGGCATGAAGTCAATAATGGCTTCAAACTGGTTCACGAACAAGGACGGCTTGCTGGCCATCCCGACCACTGACGGCGAGTTCCACATGATCCGCCTTCTCTACACGGACTCGCGCCACTATCTGCTGCCCTTGGACGAGGAGCTCGCCACCAACGACATGGCTGAGGATGCCAAGAAACTCAACAGCTTCCTCACGAACATCCACACCAAGTCCTGTGAGACGTGGAAGGATGTCAGATCATGGTTTGTGAGGGCGACTACAGCAAAGCCAAAGCGGAGTCATGATGAGGCGTCCAGCTCGGATGCCGTTGTGACCACATGCACCACCAGCGTCAATGAGGCCACTCCTGAGCAACAACCACCTACAGCTACCGTCGCAACACCACACAAGGTCAAGAAGGATGCTGGGACAAAGAATGTTGCTTTTGTGGATGAGCAACAACCACCGACAGCTACATCAACACCACACGAGGTCAAGAAGGATGCTGGGGCCAACGACGTTATGTTTGAGCAGCTCACGAGCATCTCTGGCTCCCCTTCGTATGAGGCGAAGTTCACCATGCCTGATTGCTACTACGGCGACTCTCTTCCAAGCGATCTTGATGATCGACATAGACAGTCCATGGCAAGCTACTACCAGCACCACAGGGAGGAGTACCACGTCCAGACAGGTCACCACGTCGTCACTCCTGACAACGTAGAGCAATGGAAAACAACGAGCCGTGGCCAGAGGAGGGCGCAACTGTGGGAGATTGGATTGGGAGCTGGACGGCTCTCATATCTGGCCATCTTGGCCGGGCTTGCGACAATCTTTCCAGTCGACTACCGGTACGGCTGGGACATCACGAACCGCCATCACCAGCAAGTTCTACTGGAGGTCCAAAAGCAAACCCAGCCTTCCGTGATCGTCGTCTCTCCCATGGAGATTGTCTCCAGGCTCTCGAACAATGCCACGGCCGAAGAACGTGATCTACTACAAGAGAAGGAGAATGCTATGATGAACTTCGTGAAAACCCTTGCTGTGAACCAAGCT